AGGGGGGGGGGCGAGGCTGCGATGGATGAGCGAGGGGGGGGGGCGAGGCTGCGATGGATGAGCGAGGGGGGGGGGGGATGGCATATGGTAGAGGGCGATGGATGAGTGGGTGAGTGAGGGGGAGGGGGTATTGATGCCCACCAACCAGGGGTCCAGTTACCCACATTAAGGTCTCATGGGTCTCCCTGGATGGTTATTGTCTCCCCGGCCCCAACACTTCTGGCTTGACCTCAGGTGTACCTGCCAGATTATTTTGGTCAAATGATGTTAATTAACACCAGCTGCATTGTTGGTAATTAACTAGAGATACAAAATATGTTTAACATGCTTAATAAATCTCTCTCTCTCTCTCTCTCTCTCTCTCTCTCTCTCTCTCTCTCTCTCTCTCTCTCTCTCTCTCTCTCTAATTCATCCTCTTTTTTTTAACTATGATTAGGGTTCATAAGGGTAATTTGACGTATTTAGTGAAGCTGCAAGCAGGAGTTGTTATCCTACCTCAGCTCATCTGAAGCCTGCTCTTAGAGACCTATTTATTTCATGGGCCTATTACATGCATCAATAAGAGTCAACTTTATTCCTTAACAGCATTAGGTAACAATCATATAGGCAACAGGATGAGCCTATAGCGAACTGTGTGTCACTCTTCATGTGATCTGCCGTGTATCACTTGTTGAGCGAACCAGTTCCAGATGCGAGTCAGCCTAGGAATGAATGATCGCTGATGGAGTGATGTTCTTGAGAATAGCACTTCCAGCATGAAGGCTGAGAGCCTAGTGCGACGGTAGGCAACTATTTATAGTCCACGGAGTTGGGCCAGGTGCGGAACTTTGAGAATGTTGGACATGTACGTAACAGTAAGATCACCAACGTCACGACAGTGTTGCAGGCGCTGATGTTCAGACCGTTCCCACCAGACTTGGTCAAGACTAGACCTGAGCCTTCTTGCACGACTCTCCACTTTGTCCAACAGTCTGGTGAATGATGGGGGGGGGGAGGCCATCCAGGAGAGGAGTAAATACTCCAGATGAGAGCGAACTTGTGCTTCATATAAGGTTTTGCCGTCCACGTTGTCAGGAAGGTGTGAGAGGCGCCGTAGAGCTGTAAGCTTCCTGGCTGCCTTATGAGCTGGGTGGAGCACGTGGCTCTTCATTGTCATTGTAGAGTCGAACCTCAGTCCCAAGATGTCAATGTCATCTGTAAACTCTAGGGCTTTGTCCCCCATTTTCAGGCCTGCCCGATTTGCCAAGTACAGTCTAGTTATCATTATCGCTTGTGTCTTCTCAGCCGCAAATGTGACCGGCCATCTCCTACCCCAGGTAGAAAGGTAGAAAAAATAAGTGAAAGTTTGTGATTGATGATTCTTGCAGCAGTTGGCATATCTTCCTCTCTGTATGTGAAGGTTAGAGTACAGTCATCAGCATAGACTTGAGCTTCAGGAATGAGATGAAGCAGATCGTTGAAATAAACATTCCACAGCAGAGGGCCAAGCACACTACCCTGTGGAACGCTGCCACCAATTGAGTGTCTTTTACATTCTACTCCATTGAGGACTACCCTTGGAGTCCGTTCTTGAAGGTAGTCTTCTATTAACTCTAAGAAGGAGCCTGAGAGGCCAAGTGCTTGAAGCATCACTTGAAGATCAGCAGCAGATCGGTCCTTTCTAAAACCATGCTGTTGATCACGTAATAGCCGATTATGATAAAAAATTATATCATTTGCTGATTGATTAATGATTCTAGGATTTTACCAATAATGGAGAGCAGTGACAGACTAACTGACTGGCTCACTCACTTCCACACACACACAAACACACTCTCTCTCTCTCTCTCTCTCTCTCTCTCTCTCTCTCTCTCTCTCTCTCTCTCTCTCTCTCTCTCTCGCTCACTCACTCTCTCTCTCTCTCTCTCTCGCTCACTCACTCTCTCTCTCTCTCTCTCTCTCGCTCACTCACTCACTCACTCACTCACAAGTCCATGGCTAACCACAACAGTCGTACAGACCTCCTGCACCTTCGTTAACATAGAAAAAAAATTAAAATTCCCAGAGTTCCTAGCCCATGTAGGGCAGCTCTGAAAATGATACTGCATCAACCTGAGCCGAGAGGGAACCCCATGGAAAGAGTATTGATGTCAACATCCCAGCCCGCACCAATCAACTCCAAGAGAACAATAAAACAAGGATTGCAATACAGATCCCTGCGGGAATACACAGCGCCTCTCTAATCCATCCCCATCAGTTGTACGACACGGAGATGTTACGTGGGGTACAGGCGACCCACCCACAGTACGGGCACCACCAGGGAGAAGACCTCATCACACACTGTGTCTAGCATTTGGTAAACTATATATACTGTATATATATAACTTTATAACACTCAACCCACCAGGAGACTCGAACCCTGGCCCACAGAGTGGCAGGTACACACTGTATCCACTGCACCATACTTCAAAGCTATAAAGAGAGGTAGGAATTCTGGGGTATTTAACCAACAGAATTCCATTCCTCTCCCAGGCAATGAGATGATGAGGGACCTCTGGTGTTCTTTAATCGAGCCCTGTAATGGTATAAATGCTTAATGCATTTATACCCAAGTTTTCCCACATTACAGGGTTCGATTAAAGAACACCAGAGGTCCCTCATCATCTCATTGCCTGGGAGAGGAATGGAATTCTGTTGGTTAAATACCCCAGAATTCCTACCTCTCTTTATAGCTTTGAAGTATGGTGCAGTGGATACAGTGTGTACCTGCCACTCTGTGGGCCAGGGTTCGAGTCTCCTGGTGGGTTGAGTGTTAAAAAGTTATGAACTTCAGCTTGCGGTTATCAGGCAAGTCTGTGCATTATACAGTATATATGTATAGGATCACGTAGTACATGCAACTGGCTTCGTAGTTGACTCGCAATCGGGAATTCCTGGTTCGATTTTCGAGCAGGACATACATAGTTCGGCACTTTTACTCTCACCGACCTTTACCCTCTCTCAGGGGAAGGGAGCCGGTCGGCCGAGCGGACAGCACGCTGGACTTGTGATCCTGTGGTCCCGGGTTCGATCCCAGGCGCCGGCGAGAAACAATGGGCAGAGTTTCTATCACCCTATGCCCGTGTTACCTAGCAGTAAAATAGGTACCTGGGTGTTAGTCAGCTGTCACGGGCTGCTTCCTGGGGGTGGAGGCCTGGTCGAGGACCGGGCCGCGGGGACACTAAAAAAAATAATCCCCGAAATCATCTCAAGATAACCTCAAGATAACCTAATGCCTCTCTTCACCTCGAAAAAAAGGTACTGACAGTTAGGTGACCATTGTGGAGCTGAATCCTGGGGAGGGTGAGAAGTTGAACCTTCGGAGGGGGGGGGGAGGGGGAGGGTAGAGGACCTTAGTATAAGCCTAAAGTATACATACACACAGACTTCCTGTCCCCGGCGAACCAAATGATTATATTATTATTATTATTATTCTCAAATAAAGTAACAGCAAGATCATTAATTATGATCATTAATTGGGCCCTTCTCTCGCCTCTCTCTCTCCCTTCTTTAGTATTTCTTCCTCCTTCCGACCTCTCTCCTTTTCTTCCCTCTCTTCTCTTTCCCTTCCCTACATGCCCCTGTCCACCCACGGATATTGGTGCCATAGTTTGTCTGTCCCCGCCTGTAGACGGCGAGGGGCAGCTTATTACCGTTTAGAATCACAATATCCAGTCACACGTTTCCTGACGGCTCTGGCAATATAGGCCAGATACCCCCCCCAGCTTTACTGAGCAAACCCCGCCTCTTGGATTTAAAACATCCTCATTGGCTGAGAGTGTCTGGGTCTATTCCTAGTTCAAATTGATTGGATATGGGGCCTGAAAAGGGGCGGAGTTTCTGAGGGGGTGGAGCCTTTACTCCCTTGAAGCTTTCGAGGAAAAAGTAGTTAGTGTCATGTTAGGAGTATTTGAGAGAGGGTGGTCATCCACGGAGCCTATAACAGTTGAATAACGTAATTTTATGTATGATTTTCCTGTACAATTTGTATTCCATTATCATGCCTCTAGGATAGGATGTCACTAGCATAGGGATTATTTTTTTTTTTTACATTATGAAATAGCTACTGTAAATTTAGTGTATTTTATATATTTTTCCCTTAATTAATTCTGAGTCTTAGCTCTTGAATTGCTTTGAACTTTTCCTGTGATTTGATGAGCATTGATATGAATTTAAATAATATAAAATATGATTTTATATTATTTATATATTTAAAAATTATATATATATATTTTATATATATAAATATACTGAGTTAACTATATTATATATATATAATTATATATTATATATATATATATATATATATATATATATATATATATATATATATATATATATATGTCGTACCTAGTAGCCAGAACTCACTTCTCAGCCTACTATTCAAGGCCCGATTTGCCTAATAAGCCAAGTTTTCCTGAATTAATATATTTTCTCTAATTTTTTCTTATGAAATGATAAAGCAACCCATTTCATTATGTATGAGGTCAATTTTTTTTTATTGGAGTTAAAATTAACGTAGATATATGACCGAACGTAACCAACCCTACCTAACCTAACCTAACCTATCTTTATAGGTTAGGTTAGGTTAGGTAGCCGAAAATGTTAGGTTAGGTTAGGTTAGGTAGGTTAGGTAGTCGAAAAAGCATTAATTCATGAAAATTTGGCTTATTAGGCAAATCGGGGCTTGCATAGTAGGCTGAGAAGTGCGTTCTGGCTACTAGGTACGACATATATATATATATATATATATATATATATATATTATTTTCTATTTTTCAACATGTATAGATACATTACAAGCGACAGAAGACGATATATACTTTAATGCAGCTCCATAAAGTATAATCACACTAAAAATAACATGATATTTGTATCAGTTTCAAAATAACACTACCAGGCAACTGTTCTCTGAATGTTATGCATCGCATGATGGGATATGACCTTGTGTTACAGCTGTTCTTGTTCTGTTGACAGGTGTGTGTGGTGATGTTCCGGCCCCGACCAGCCGGGTGGTGATGCTGGAGGCTGGGGACGATGCTACGGTTCTCCTGCAGCTGCTGTGTGTGGCAGCACCTCCCCACCGCACCCAGGAGACCTCCCCAACACCAGCCCCCTGCCACACTAACGCCTCACCGCTCCACCACACACATGTACTAAGTGAAGAATTCTACTCTACGTCTGAACCGGTTTCCGCCGGGCTTCAAAATCCTGGCAGCCTTTCCCCTCAGCCGTCTCCTCCAGCAGCAGATGAGGCACTTGGGGCGAGGGCTGAGGAGGAGGCCGAGTCTGGCGAGGGGGAAGAGGGGGTGCAGGCCGGAGTCGACAGCTCAGGGAGCCAGCAAAGTGGAAATTTGCCTCGGGCAGCTGACGGTGACGAAGGCGACGACGGGGAAGTGGGAGATAAGAGGCGGTGGAGAAGCGTCGATAACGAAGACAGCACAGGAAGAGAGGGAGGAAAGAGAGCTCACAGAGGAAGTGTCGATAACGAAGTTGACGAGGGAAGAGCGGGGGAAAGAATACAGGACAAGAAGAGAGAGAACTTACACGAAGGTAAGAAACTCTTAAACAAGAAGGATCACGTCAATAAGCAACATTTTGCGACGAGTCGGCTCTTCACGCCCCGTCCCAGGGTAGCTGGGACCAGGGACACGCTCCCCACCGCCAGGGACACGCTCCCCACCGCCAGGGACACGCTCCCCACCGCCAGGGACACGCTCCCCACCGCCAGGGACACGCTCCCCACCGCCAGGGCCACGCTCCCCACCGCCAGGGACACGCTCCCCACCGCCAGGGACACGCTCCCCACCGCCAGGGCCACGCTCCCCACCGCCAGGGCCACGCTCCCCACCGCCAGGGCCACGCTCCCCACCGCCAGGGCCACGCTCCCCACCGCCAGGGACACGCTCCCCACCGCCAGGGACACGCTCCCCACCGCCAGGGACACGCTCCCCACCGCCAGGGACACGCTCCCCACCACTAACGAAGAGGAGCACCAGGCTGAAGGCATCACAGTGAACACAGAGCCCAGAAATGACGAGTCAGGTGAGATAATGAAGGGACCGAGCCAGACAGGCCCTGAAGACTTTATCCGGCTTACGTCTCCTTCCCCACCCCAAGAAAACGGCTCAGGAGTGAACATTGATCCACGGGAAGAGGTCAGCGAAGTGTCATGGCACCTGGACTACCTACACCCGGCACTCAGGTGAGTGTCCAAAGTAACGGTACCGCATCAGTAAGAACATTGACACATTTTCTCAAGGTCTCAGTAGTTGACTTCAGTAGCTCAAGTGATGGCTCATGATTTCCCCTTTGATATTTTGTTTTCAAAGAATGAATAAAGACACGGTAATGATCAAGGCCACGATTATCCAAGTATTTACCGACCCATTAACGAAACCTGTATATCTTTCGTCAATTAGGGCGGCTTTAGTTTCGTGAGTGGACTTTTAAATACTTCACGAATCCTGACGAATCTTGACGAATCACAGACACTTCTGACATCCCCCGAGCGCTTACTTCACGTGACTATAGACACACAGCTGGGGCGCTGACTTCACGTGACCACAGACACGCACACTCAGCTGGGGCGCTGACTTCACGTGACCACAGACACGCACACACAGCTGGGGCGCTGACTTCACGTGACCACAGACACGCACACACAGCTGGGGCGCTGACTTCACGTGACTATCTGAAGGCAACTTGCGAAGGGCAGATCAGTTGACGGAGCTGTTGAGGCTAAGATGGTGCTCATCCTGACGTATATCTAAAATATATACCTGGAGTATATCTATTAAGTCCACTACGGGCTCACCATAGCCCGTTCTACTTGGAACTTTTCTTCCCATTAGCTAAATATTTAACAACAACAACTTAGAGCGAGTTCTAGGAGTTCTTCTACTCATCAAGCCCGGCCCGGGGCCAGGCTTGACTTGTGGCCCAAAAGCGTGCTGTTGGGAGCGGGCCCGCAGGCCCAACATTTCCACAAACGCGAAATGATGAAATGCCGAGCTGGGAACTTAATGTCACGGGCCGTTACTCACTCCAGTAACCCCCCGTGAGCGCCGAGCTGGTGGCTCAGCGGACCGATTTCAGAGGAGAAGATTGCTGTAGGCCATTACCGAGAGCGAGCGATGGCTGGTGAGAAGGGAAGTAGTGGCCTTGTGGGACGAGAGAGGTAGCGAGTGGGGTTAGGATTGATGGCTGACATTATACAACCCGTTCTCGCAAATTTAATAAGTCATATTGACTTATTAAATATGTGCATAGGTGACATACTTAACATAATAGATACCCTTAAAAAGATTCATAGAAAACACCGACCTTACCTAACCTACTTAGTATGTTAAGATAAGCATCTTATTGCTTCGTAATTACAATTATTACCTAACCTATAATAGGTATAGGTTAAGTAATAATTGTAATTACGAAGCAATAAGATGCTTATCTTAAGATACTAACAAGGTTAGGTAAGGTCGGTGTTTTCTATGAATCTTTTTAAGGGTATCTTTTATGTTTAGTATATCACCTATGCACGTAGTTAATAAGTCAATATTGACTTTACGAATTTGCGAGAACGGGTTGCAATATATGAGCTCACGCTGGATGGTAGTTATCTAACAGTCTTGGTGTAATTAGGACCAACCTATCGTTCTTCTCACTTATATGACAACCATCTCTCATTCCCCTCTTCGTCCCCCTCTCCTCTCCCTTCTCTTTTCACCTTCTCCCTTCATCTAAGTCTAGATAAAGAGGGGAACACCTCTTACGCCAGCCAGTTGTCTCGATTGGTCACTCCGCACAATAATTTGAACCTACCAAAACCCGATGCTTTGAAAACATGAATATTCCGATAATTTATATTTTACTAACATGTCCTAACATGTTAGGGACTTTGTCTAGGGACTTTGACTCATGTCCTAACATGTTAGGGACTTTGTCTAGGGACTTTGACTCATGTCCTAACATGTTAGGACATGATAACATGTATATTTTACTTTGGTGGGTCGACACCGTAGCGCGCGATGTATTAAGTGTGAGGACAGGCTGTTTACAGAATCCATCGCCTTGTCTCTTCTACCGACGTGATAACATATCGGTATAATATCTTCAGACTGTTATTTTAAGTTAAAAATAAATTACATTGGGTGTAATTTTGAACACTTTGGGCGGTGTAACACAAGGCATAATGAAGCCGTCAGTTATCTTGTCTAAATTGTTGGATTCTAAGATGCTAATTCAAGAAATTTAAGTGAATGTTCTTTAAGGTTCGTTCCTGAGTTTGGAGGATGAATATTCTGCTTACTCACTGTACACCGTTTGTTGAGACTGTGATCTATGTGTCGCTACGGTGATCTGACACATTGTACCACCCACTGTGATCTATGTGTCGCTACGGTGACCTGACACATTGTATCACCCACTGTGATCTGTGTGTCGCTACGGTGACCTGACACATTGTTCCCCCACTGTGATCTATGTGTCGCTACGGTGATCTGACACATTGTACCACCCACTGTGATCTGTGTGTCGCTACGGTGACCTGACACATTGTATCACCCACTGTGATCTGTGTGTCGCTACGGTGACCTGACACATTGTATCACCCACTGTGATCTGTGTGTCGCTACGGTGACCTGACACATTGTTCCCCCACTGTGATCTATGTGTCGCTACGGTGACCTGACACATTGTACCACCCACTGTGATCTGTGTGTCGCTACGGTGACCTGACACATTGTACCACCCACTGTGATCTGTGTGTCGCTACGGTGATCTGACACATTGTATCACCCAATGTGATCTGTGTGTCGCTACGGTGACCATAATGGTCACCGTAACCAACATTAACTGTCCTACAAATCAACACTCTCCTAATCAATAATATTCTCCCAATATACCATTTTCTCATAACCGTTACTCAGATTACTGGCCGAACCAAAATTTGAATTTTATTCAAATATGAATATGGCCGTTGTGTCTAACTGCCACCTGGCTGCTGGTAATGACCATGGCTGGTGATATTGATCACCAAGATCACTAATTCCCCCAGAGGAAGAGTCGTACACAGGCCGGGGGGGGGGGGGGGGGGGGGGGAGTTACGGGAATTTTTCAGAAGGACGAGCCATTAGAGAGATGGCGGCATCTTCAATATAATAATACCGATGAAAGTTGCTCGTACACCTGAGCGAGGCCGCTAATGACATCATTAAAATGTTGGCGTGACGATCTGTGTGGGTGGAGGAAGAGAGGGAGGGAGGGAGAGAGGGAGGGAGAGAGAGGGAGAGGGGGAGAGGGAGGGAGAGAGGGAGAATAGGGATTATGTTTTACTCGCTGGGGAAGAATGGTCTTTGATCGCCTTCCCCCCCCCCCCTACCCTCCCAGGGTGGCTGGGGGGAGTAGGGGGGGGGGATTATACCCCTGGGGGAGGGATTAGGGCAGGTGGCATCAAAGGGAGCTTGGCCAATCCTACTTCGCCATGCTGAGGGAGAGATTGAGGGATGGTGGGCGGCTCAAGGGGGAAAAAAGAGTTGTGGCTTAAAGGGGACTGACAGCTGAGTGGACAGCGCTGCGGATTCGTAGTCCTGAGGCTCCGGGTTCGATCCCCGGTGGAGGTGGAAACAAAATGGGCAGAGTTTCTTTCACCCTGATGCATCTGTTCACCTAGCAGTAAATAAGTACCTGGGAGTTAGACAGCTGCTACGGACTGCTTTCTGGGGATTTTTAACAATAAGGAGGCCTGGTCGAGGACCGGGCCGCGGGGACGCTCAGCTCTGAAATCATTTCAAGTTAACCTTAAGAAGAAGATAGCGAGCCATGCCAGTTACAAGCTCCTACAGTACACAACTACCTACTGTTCTCATCTATAGTCACAACATATGTCCTTAAAGGATGTCATACTAGCCACTGTGACATTGTTATATTTTACTAACATGTTACTAAGACAGGAAACGCCCACACCCAGACTCGGAACCAATCGTATTGGCGTATACCTTTCCATTGGAGACTTTCAGCGCCGTGGAGAGGGGGGACCTGCTGCCTGGGTAACAGCTTCTCCCCCCGAATCAACCTACCCTGGCTTTGCGTCCTGGTGAGGCCACTCCAGACCGACAACCAGAGCGCAACTCCATAGTCTCTTGAGACTGCTGGATGCCTACTACTACTACTACTAGCCAGCACAGAGGGCCATTAAAAGCCTGAGTACCACCGAAATGTCTTACTAGCCAGCACAGAGGGCCACTAATGGCCTGAATACCGCCGTAATGCCTTCCTCGCTAACAAAGAGGGCCATTGACAACTGTAAAGAGCTCCTGATACCTTACGATAAAATAGTAAAGAGAATCCGAAGCATAAGTTTTAGGAGAGAATGGGTTTTAAATCTTAGCTAAACTCATCCCTATCCTGAGTTGAGCGCCCAATGCGTGAACCATCGTAATAGATCGTTACTAAAAATACACTGGAGATGTGTAACTACCTTTTACAAAGCTCTTGAAAGTCACAGTGATCTAGGTAGACTATCTCGGTTAGTGGTATCTCGTAATTGGGTTAAATCCGGTAGTTTCATAGTTCACATCTTCAGACGGGTAGATGTAACACTTGAGAAATTTCGGACTGTTCAGAAATTCCTCCGGTTTAATACTAAGGTTTATTGATACCGTTCCGTCATCTTGTCCTCATATCCCAACTCCTTGTCCCACATATCCCAGCTCCTTGTCCCACATATCCCAGCTCCTTGGTCCACACATCCCAGCTCCTTGGTCCACACATCCCAGCTCCTTGGTCCACACATCCCAGCTCCTTGGTCCACACATCCCAGCTCCTTGGTCCACACATCCCAGCTCCTTGGTCCACACATCCCAGCTCCTTGGTCCACACATCCCAGCTCCTTGGTCCACACATCCCAGCTCCTTGGTCCACACATCCCAGCTCCTTGGTCCTCACATCCCAGCTCCTTGGTCCACACATCCCAGCTCCTTGTCCACACATCCCAGCTCCTTGTCCACACATCCCAGCTCCTAATCCTCCCTTATATTGTTTTCTGGTTTCAGAAAATATTCCAGGATTGGTAAGTACACATCTTTGATTGGTACCTCGTTAAGTCTTTGTCAATTGTTGATTAGTGTGTTGCAGGTGATGATTGTTGTGTTCGTCTTGTTGCAGCGTGAGCGTGGAGGGGGCCCGGGTGGCGGTGAGGCTGCGACCCTCCTTCGACCCCCCGCCCATCCTCATCTCTCATTCCCTTTCCTTCTCCTCCTCGAGTCGCTCCTCTGTCCAATACCAGAGCATGTCCTCCGTCCTTCCTCGCGGGGACGCTGCTTCTAGCCCATCTGTTATCTTCCCTCGTCTCTCTTCTTCCTCCTCCTCTCCTCGGCTCTCTTCTTCCTCCCCGATCTTCCAATCCCTTGTGACTCCACCTCTAGCCGCCGCCTCCTTCCTCCACTCATCCTCCAGAGGGCCTGCAGTGTCCCCTGTTCCTCCACCTGGTCCTTGGTCTCCTCCCTGGCGTGGCCCTTGGGTCCTCGCGCCCTCCGGTCCCTATTCCAGGCCCCCTCTTGCCCCTCAGACCACTTTAGAGCCTGTTCCAGACCCCTCGAACGGTCCCATGGGGTCATTTCCACGCCACTCCTGGCCACCCACACGCCTTCCTGGGGCCACGCCACGCCCGCACGCATCGGATACCCGATCACCGCGCCCTGGCACGCCCGCGAGGGCACTAGCGGTGCTGCAGTGCCGGTACACACGCGGTGCCACAACAACGGTCTACATCATGCCAGGTAGAGTGCCATCTTTAGTGTTGTTAGGCAGCCCACACCCCCATTAGAGCTAAGGAGGGGGGGGGGGGAGAACTTTCACAGTTTTCATTCTTCTTCTTCAATGAGTAACTCGAGTGCACTGACTTGTGTCTGTTTTGGTTGGATATTTTGTATTTTAAAATGTGTTCGAACCTGTTGTGGGTTATATCTCATGAGAGAGGAATCTAGAAGGGATGAGAAACGCATCTGGAAGTGGGTGATATTGTCTGGTATTAACTCTCATCATAAGACTCGGTTTCATCCTCCACCTTTCCCTCTCGGGGACTAACTCTACAGGTATTACAACACTCGGTACATACTCCTCTCCCAGCGGTTACAACCTGTGCCACAACCCCAGTCACAACCCTGGCATACATACCCCCTCCTCCCCTTCACCACCCTGCCACACCTCCCCCCACCCCCTTCGCCACAACAGCGGTAGGACTCACCACAACACAAGTTGAGGCCAAACTTGTGTCCTCTGATATTTTACGGCAGTCCGGAGGGGCAGTAAAAATTGGGAAGAATATTCCAAGGTGGCGACGATGTGGAAGTCCAGCCAGGGTGGGACAGGACCCGGCTCCTTACACCTCCCCACACTCCCACACCCTGCCTCACCCACCCACTTTCCCACATGCTTCCTCACCTCCCACACTCCCACGTAACCCACACGGCTCCTGACCGCCCACACCCCCACGCCACCCAGCATTACGAAAGATTATACCAGAAGTGTGCGTCCGGGTCTGCGTTTCTAGCTCTCTATGTTTTTTCTTTTTCCCAACAATTCTTACATCAACTACAGGACGGCATTTAGAAATCTAAGCCGGGAATCATTCAGCATATCCTCCGTCTGGAGTCCGCAGCGCCTGCGTGGCATACCTACTTTTAGGATGTACACCTGACAACTGAGATAGCCGAGAGACTTGCCAGGAAACTTGTGCCGGAGATGAGGGAGCCGAGTTCTAAGGTGGAGCCGAGTTCTAAGGTTAAGCCGAGGTAAAATCCGTCTCACCATCCCATCCAAGAGAAGACCCACAACAGCTATCACAACACGAGAACAACTAGAACAAGGAGGCTGTGTACCTGAACGTGGAAACACAATCTCGTCCCAATCGACTTGAGATTGGTCCAGGACGGACAGAAACGTCGTCGTCCCTTCACCTTCTAGTGTGTGGTCTGGTCAACATCGTCCCAGAGACGCAGCATCCGGTACGTCTTGATCTTACGAACCAGATCTCATATAGACTACTCTCACGTAACTATGAGCCTCTCCTTTATGATGAGAGATGGCTCCAACACCCACTACAAAAAACAGTGTTATTACAGTTCCCAAGTTAGTATAAATGTGCAGACTGACGTACTCACCTAGTTGTGTTTGCAGGGACTGACGCACTTACCTTGTTGTGCTTGTAGGGACTGAGCTAGGCTCTTGGGTCCCGCCTCTCACCCCGTTTGTAACCAATCATGCACCACCCGACTCCTCATAGTTGTTCTTCCTAAATGAGACAAAGATAATAATAATAATAATAATAATAATAATTCATTGAGTTGAGGGACAGGAAGACAGGGTATTCACACACGTTAGGCTTATATTGAGCCCCCCCCCCAACGGGGGCCCCGACCCCGCCAAGGATACAACCCCACGACTAGCTCTTGAGCACCAACTTACTGCTAGGGGGGAACAAAGGTATTAGGTGAAAGGAAATGTGCTCAACCATTTCTGTCCCGCCAGGAACATTAATGTCCTGCCTCTGCCCCACATGTTGCGCGTCCCCAGTAATGATAACAGCTATGATATGCTGACCTTGGGCCTGGCTGAAGTAATGGGCAGTGATAGCAGTGGCAAATGAAAGCTATCCACCTTTGGATTTCATTCATGAAAGTAGACTGTTCTACTACTAGTAAAATACACATAAGGAGTGTTATTTAAACAAATAACTAATGAAAAACCTAAGGCCTTGACCAAGACCTGAAAGCTGTAGCATTAAACATTATGATAAATATCGCGAGGAAGCATTTATATATGGAACTAATAGGGCAAGAACTCGGTAATGGGATGTTATAGTGGCCAGAATACGCCTGGGATATAGACGTATCTGGCAGCTCTCTCACAACCCAAATGTCGAATACACCATGTGTGCAACTTTGTGAAAGTGTCGAATACACCATGTGTCAACGTTGTGAAAGTGTCGAATACTCCATGTGTCAACGTTGTGAAAGTGTCGAATACACCATGTGTGTCAACGTTGTGAAAGTGTCGAATACACCATGTGTGTCAACGTTGTGAAAGTGTCGAATACACCATGTGTGTCAACTTTGTGAAAGTGTCGAATACTCCATGTGTCAACGTTGTGAAAGTGTCGCATACACCATGTGTCAACGTTGTGAAAGTGTCAATACTCCATTGTGAAAGTGTCGAATACTCCATGTGTCAACGTTGTGAAAGTGTCGAATACTCCATGTGTCAACGTTGTGAAAGTGTCGCATACACCATGTGTCAACGTTGTGAAAGTGTCGAATACCCCATGTGTCAACGTTGTGAAAGTGTCGAATACTCCATGTGTCAACGTTGTGAAAGTGTCGAATACTCCATGTGTCAACGTTGTGAAAGTGTCAATACTCCATGTGTCAACGTTGTGAAAGTGTCGAATACACCATGTGTGTCAATACTCCATGTGTCAACGTTGTGAAAGTGTCGAATACTCCATGTGTCAACGTTGTGAAAGTGTCGAATACACCATGTGTCAACGTTGTGAAAGTGTCGAATACACCATGTGTCAACGTTGTGAAAGTGTCGAATACTCCATGTGTCAACGTTGTGAAAGTGTCGCATACACCATGTGTCAACGTTGTGAAAGTGTCGAATACCCATGTGTCAACGTTGTGAAAGTGTCGAATACACCATGTGTCAACGTTGTGAAAGTGTCGAATACTCCATGTGTGTCAACGTTGTGAAAGTGTCGCATACACCATGTGTCAACGTTGTGAAAGTGTCGAATACACCATGTGTCAACGTTGTGAAAGTGTCGAATACACCACGTGTCAACGTTGTGAAAGTGTCGAATACACCTTGTGTCAACGTTGTGAAAGTGTCGAATACACCTTGTGTCAACGTTGTGAAAGTGTCGAATACTCCATGTGTCAACGTTGTGAAAGTGTCGAATACACCATGTGTGTCAACTTTGTGAAAGTGTCGAATACACCATGTGTGTCAACTTTGTGAAAGTGTCGAATACACCATGTGTGTCAACTTTGTGAAAGTGTCGAATACACCATGTGTGTCAACTTTGTGAAAGTGTCGAATACACCATGTGTGTCAACTTTGTGAAAGTGTCGAATACACCATGTGTGTCAACTTTGTGAAAGTGTCGAATACACCATGTGTGTCAACTTTGTGAAAGTGTCGAATACACCATGTGTGTCAACTTTGTGAAAGTGTCGAATACACCATGTGTGTCAACTTTGTGAAAGTGTCGAATACACCATGTGTGTCAACTTTGTGAAAGAGAAAACATGTACTCCCTTGCACATTGTATTGTAGAATGTCCCATATTGACTGACATTCGCCCTCCTGTAGGTTGAGGTATGCTGAACTCTGTAACTATTATATGAATACTGGAACACTTGATATACTGGACTTGTACCCAAGATTGAGTATGTAATGCATCAGTTATACAATGTATGTGTTGTAACTATAACCTGAGCTTGTAAAAGTAAGCTGGTCAGAATAACATTTCAGCTTTGTAAACGCACATTAATACCACTATGTAAAAAGATACCTCGAACACTGTTTATGTAGGATAGACGTAAATCTATGTATTAATATATGCAGGTTAGATTAGCTTTAAAAAGCACTACAATCACCTGTTGATTGTTCATTAAATCACTGAACTATATGTTTAACAGGTCTCTAATCTTGTCCATGGAGGACAAAAGAAAATGTATATATATATGCTGGTTAGCATTGTACATTTGGGGCCACGTCTGTGGTAGAAAATAATATTAATAAAAAAAAAAAAAGGTAATTGTGTTCAATCGCATTTTAAGTACAGGAGAGTTTACGTGCGAGCCTGTGAGTTTGTGGGTCTGCGAGCCTGTGAGTTTGTGGGTCTGCGAGCCTGTGAGTTTGTGGGTCTGCGAGCCTGTGAGTTTGTGGGTCTGCGAGCCTGTGAGTTTGTGGGTCTGCGAGCCTGTGAGTTTGTGGGTCTGTGAGCCTGTGAGTTTGTGGGTCTGCGAGCCTGTGAGTTTGTGGGTCTGCGAGCCTGTGAGTTTGTGGGTCTGCGAGCCTGTGAGTTTGTGGGTCTGTGAGCCTGTGAGTCTGTGAGCCTGTGAGTCTATGAGCCTTTGAGTCTATCAGCCCGTGAGTCTATGAGCCCGTGAGTCTATGAGCCCGTGAGTCTATGAGCCTTTGAGTCTATCAGCCTGTGAGTCTGTGGGTCTCCGAGCCTTCGTGTCTCTCTTAGTCTATGAGCCTGTGACTCAATTAGCCGACGAAGCTGTGAGTTTATGAGTGTGTGTGAGTGTGAGTGTGAGTGTGAGTGTGTGTGTGTGTGTGTGTGTGTGTGTGTGTGAGTGTGTGTGAGTGTGTGTGAGTGTGTGTGTGTGAGTGTGTGTGTGTGTGTGTGTGTGTGTGTGTGTGTGTGTGTGTGTGTGTGTGTGTGTGTGTGTGTGTGTGAGTGTGTGTGAGTGTGTGTGAGTGTGTGTGTGTGTGTACTCACCTATATGTACTCACCTATATGTGCTTGCAGGATCGAGCATTGACTCTTGGATCCCGCCTTTCGAGCATCGGTTGTTTACAGCAATGACTCCTGTCCCATTTCCCTATCATACCTGGTTTTAAAATTATGAATAGTATTTGCTTCCACAACCTGTTCCTGAAGTGCATTCCATTTCCCCACTACTCTCACGCTAAAAGAAAACTTCCTTACATCTCTGTGACTCATCTGAGTTTCAAGCTTCCATCCATGTCCTCTCGTTCTGTTACTATTCCGTGTGAACATTTCGTCTATGTCCACTCTGTCAATTCCTC